ACTCTGTTGACATTGGGGTTATGTATTTATGAATATGACAGGGTTCACCAATGACAAACTCAGTTTTTAATAAAGCTCATATACAAAGGTTTACATCCGTTCAACAGTTTCTTCTGTCTTCAAACCAAATCAGAACTTTTCTCATCAGATTGTCCCTGATGTTCTGTCCTAAAAGCTATTACAGGTTTGGGGAACTAACCTACAGACTGAAGCCAGACTGTGATACTTTTATAAGAAGGGAAAATATATAAGAGGTCCTAAACAATTTCAGACTATTTTATTTTATAGAAAAAAATGTTTTTGGTTTAAGTTTCTAATCAATGGGTCACATGTATCTGTTACTAAATCTGAGTTCTGGTGCAGGTCACTACCCTGTACAGATGTATAGAACCTACTGTATACATATGTTTTCTATACCAGGACTCAATAATCTGGTCTTTACCAGGTTCTAAATTATTCAAATCTTATCAGGTGTAGAAAACAACAGATTCCATCGTGTTATTTATTAAATAAAAAACAAGCTTTGGAGAAAGTTCTTGCTAAGCTACCTTCACTAATTTTGTCATAAAAAATACTTTTGAGAAAATATATTTTACTCGTATCGTTGTTCAGTTGAAACTTTTACTCAAATTAAAATATGTATATTATTTTTTTAGGCATCTAAACAGGTGAAAATGTTCCTGCTGATGCCGTTTGAGCAGATTAAACTGCCGATCTCATTTTAACCTGTCAAAAATAATTGAACAGACTTATATCTGTAATATTTTATCCATCAGTTCTTCCACTGAGATTAAAAAGGCACCAGTGGTCATTTTTTTTTTTTTTTATAAAGAGGAATCCTCCGTTTATTTTCTCCACCAACAGAAAGTACAAAGCTATATAAGGTGTATGTTTTCTATCATCCTGTAGAAAGTAATTTTGTAAGTATGTTGAAAGTATATAAAGAATTTGCCAGACTCTGCTTCCTTTGATGACGAAAACAATAATGTACAGAAGAAATTGTGTTGCGAAAATGTGGCTGTGCAATTTATGTACATTTGCAACTAGACCTATTAAAGTTTTATTTAGTTATTTTAAAATGTCTGCCATGTGATTTTCTTGTTTTCTTGCTCGTGCGGTTCTGTGTGCATTTTTCCTTTTCACAGTGAATTCTAAATAAAGCGAAAATGAAAAGCCTGCAGGAAGAATCACATGTTCATTAAATACTGAACGAAGCCCAGATTGATTACAGGCAGCCAGAGAGAACATATGTTCAGACTGTGGCTCCAAAGCAAAGGGGGCGTTTTTTCTCTGCGAGGCTGACCTACATACTGCCTGATTGTTATTCTCCACAGTTGGAAGGAAAACACACACAAGATGTCCAGAAAGCTAAATGAATAAACTAATAAATAAGCAAAACTTTCTCTGAGACGCAGCAGAAAACAGTTAATTGTAATGTTTTGACTTCGCAACGTTGAGGCTCTTGAAAGAAAAGTCCCCAGTTTTAATGACTGCCTCTGAGGCAAACATTTCTTTAGCCAAGTGGAACAGGAAGCTCCAGGCAAAAATATTTAAAAGAAAGTGTAGAAGAAAAAAAAACACATTAATGCAACCATTGCTCATCTTCTACACACACTTCAGAAAGTATTCTTACCTCCTTCTGTTGATGCTACAAATGTTTTATTCATTTTCATCTCATTATTTTACACTCATAATGACAAAAAGAAGTCAAAATTTTAGACATTTTTTGAAATAAATAAACTAAAAAATACATTTTCATCAGTATTCAGACCCTTTACTTGTAGCATCGAGCATCCTTTAGGGTTTGAAGCAACAAGCTGACAGTGTTGTATAAAGTACCACAAAGGGATATTTGAGTAAAAGTACAAGTATCTTACCAAAAAAAGACTTTGGTAAAAGTTTAAGTCTCCTTTAGGAATATTACCTGAGTAAAAGTCTGAAAGTATCTGATAGTTTTTGTACTTAAGTATTAAAAGTAAAAGTATTGATTTAAAATGAGCAGTTAGATTTTCTGTAAGGACATTTATTAGGAGGTGACCTCCACAAAAAAATGCAGAAATTACTGTCGTATTAAATAATGTTTAATTTATGATAAATTTAAGCTGCACTAGTCCAGCTGTTTCAGTTTACATAAATATATCAAGGCTGCACAAAGCTTTTCTCCAAAATGAAAATCTATCTGAGGGCTGCTGCCAAATGCAATAATATAATAAATGAAATACAAATTAAGTACAGTCCTATTATTTTAATGATTATGTCCTGCTGGAGTGTGACATGATTTGTTTGTGTACAAACTAATACAGTATCAGAGTTTTATATATTCAGTGCTGGCTCTAGCCATTTTGGTGCCCTAGGCGAG